TGACCACTGTGAGAAGAGTTTCAGGCAATTCTCAAATTTGAAGATTCATCAGCGTATCCACACTGGAGCAAAGCCTTACCTCTGGGAACAGTGTGAGAAGAGTTTCAGTCTATCATCAAGTTTGGAGGTTCATAAGTATTTCTACGCTGGAGAAAGTTGTCAGTGCACACACACTGTTTAGAAAGCATATTTGAACTGTAATGTATGAAACCATTTGCTGTTATAATGTGACTTGGATTGGGAAAAGTTGTCTGCGTCTCAATAATATTCATATGCATACAACCTACGTTGTCAAATTGTATTGTTTTTACTTCCACTGTCAAAGTTAATATAGCAATACACAAGCATGCAAAAACTGAAGGATTCTACAATATTGTGCTAGCTTGCTAATTGACTGTAATTATTTCAAAAGGCCACACTAGCAGCTAGGGTTGGGCAACCTTCACATTGGAACCAGTACCAGGGCCAGATGCATAAAATTTGGTACCTTTTTTGTTGGTAGTTTCTGTACTCTCCCTTTTTATTAACAAAAATGCAATTTCAGTTGTAAAAAAAACAAGTTAAAATTTCTCTCACTACTGCGTTGCTTCTGTAATATTTCCCTGTAAATGGCACACAATTCATGTACTGTTGGTTTCATACTAAGGTTTCAGGCATACAAAAAAATCTCATGCATAATAATAATAATGTAAAATCAATAATCATGGTCAATTATGAATAAGTATGGTCGATCAGCACACTTGCTAACCTCCAGAGATCGTAGCCTAAATCAGGAGACCAAACCTAACCAGGGTATCTGGGGATTATTATTACTCCCTCACTCCTACAAGTGCAAGAGGTACTCTGTGTTTCTTTTCAGTCTGTTAATCTGTTATAAATTTGTTTGTTGCTGCGAGAAAATGGACTTGTAGCATGAGAGCCTGTGAAAAGTTTCAATTGGTCAATGTGTGAGTTGACAGTCCTGTGGCTGACGCTAGTAAGAATGCTAAGCTAACGTCAACCAAGAGAGTTAAAAACACCCAGTTATCTCTAACAACTTATCCAACTAGCTAATTACGACTGACTTAAAGTTTCGCCGTACATGGAGGGTTTAACTTTGGTGCTGGCTGCAGGCGTGCTAACGTTAGCCGTGGTTGCCTTATTAAATGTGTTAACGATAGTTGTTTTAGGAAATTATGGGAAACTAAATGATTCGTGGCACACTTTTCAACCCTCTAGGCCCCAGTAGGATTATATAAACCTTTCTTCCGTTCACTGTGATCCCTCTTAAAAGAGCATTTATCTTAATAAACAATCCAAACAAACACAAAAAAATGGACAATCACAAGTTGTTTTCATTTTAAAATACACAACTATATATTTTGTTGAGTTTTATACCAGTGTTATCCCAAATGTTTCCAACAACATTCAACGTCCCAGAAAAATACTTGATTTTATTCTTGCCTCTAACTGTTATAACTTCAGTGTATCAGAATGAGGAAGGAAGTCGGCAAATGTGACTAAATGTAACATGAATAAAACTTTTACCTTCCCTCGTCCATGACATGATTACTGCCTGAGTCACATCAGATAGATTTTCGTCAACAATGGTGGTTGTTCATAAGGCTGGGTTTAAAAAAATCTTTTTCCAGATACAAATTGATCTTCATTTGAATGATCCGATATCCATTAATAAACCATATATTCACAGGGACAGTAATATTTTGTCACATCATCCTTTGTTATGGTTTTAATGTGAGCGATTCTCTAGTGACAAATGTGCCTTTGTGTTTATTTAATCCCATTTTTTCACATTGCCACTAAATTGGTTTTAGAAAAAAAAAGAAATCTATGATCTTCGGTTTGCTAGGTTTCTCTCCAAAAACAAATTCCCAGTATCAGACAGGTTTGCATTGTCAGCAGCTAATTTGATTTGCTCTAGAGTGAACCTTGAAGTTGGGTGAGTTGACTTTAGTCGCGCTCCTCCTAGGTTAGTGGGTCAGAAATACACAGGCTCTCTGTGAGCCCAAGAGGTGAGACCATTAAATAACTTCAGCACTTAACTTCAGTGCAGATAACTTAACTATCTGCTTCTATTCAGTTTAAACCTTGATCTGTTCAGGTGAAACTCTGTTCTAAATGGTTTCATGGAAAGCCATTCTGCCCATAACTTAAGTTTCATTGACTTTTTCTTTTCCTTTTTTTAAAGAAGGTAGGGTGATACAAGAATATAGTTCTGCATTCTGAAAACTGCCTTTGTTTTCAGGGTGAACGTCGGCTGTGGTCCTGCGGAGGAGAGGCTGCTGCTCACAGGACTTCACGCAGTCGCGGACATCTACTGTGAAAACTGTCACACCACACTAGGCTGGAAATATGTAAGTGCATCCACTTAAAAAGCCGGCTTGTTCACCCATAAGACAGGTTTACAGGGTTGGCGAAAAGGGTTAACGTGGTTCCCACCTTGCATACCCATCGTGTAGGGTTTAGTACAGAGGTCTACATAACCATGCTATAAATCTGGTTGGATCTATAGTTTAATCCACTTTCCAATAACTGGTATGCACCTCCCTTCTGCAGGAACAAGCCTTTGAGCTGAGTCAGAAGTACAAGGAAGGGAAGTTTATCATCGAGCTGTCCCACATGATAAAGGACAACGGCTGGGACTGAGGAGAAAACTTTCATCTTTCTTCATGACTTTTTCAAAAGTTGCATTCCCTCGACTTTAAAGGGTTCCAGTGTAGCTTCCTCATCCCGCGTACGAGCCATTGCTGTGCCACACTTTCACTTCGTACGGCTTTGCCAAGAATAGCATGTGATGCCTTATCTTCTGTTCTTCGTGTTTTTCCAGCGACCACAACAACACATTTGCTGATATTACTATCCCAATTGCTAGTTGTGCTGGGACATGGACTGAATGAGTGCAGGGTTTGTGTGTGAACGACTGGGAGATGTAGTCACACAGGCACGTGTGCATGTTGGGTTTTAAAGTGCGTGTTTGAGTGATGAAACTCTTATCAGCGACCGACCACTGAGCAGTCGCACTGTGGGGGGCGAGAACAGTGTCAAGTCAAACAATCTGACCTTCTTACACATCAGATGCAGGTATTTGGGTTTTCCTTTTGAGTTTAAGGTGCACATTTAGACATATCTGGCCCAAACTGAGTAAAGTATCTAGTATTTTGTGTGATGCAAGGGGGATGGGAATGCTTATAGCAGTGGGAGGGCTTGTTTTTTATGAATGAAATTCATTTTTTTATGGTAAGATCAGTAACACATTTTGCCAATGGCAATCAGTATGTTGAAATAATAATGTTAAAGCCCCTCTGGAGTATGAGTGTCTTCTGCTTGTAGGTAATACATTTTAGTGTGTGTGCGTGTGTGTGTGTGTGTGTGTGTGTGTGCGCGTGTGTGCTGAGATGTTTTAGCTGGACGGTGTTGAAGGATTATTCTGGGGTTCACATCTAGAGTTTCCACTGCACAGCTGGGATATCATCACTTTTACTTCATGCTGATGAAATCTGTCCTACATGTTTGTGTATAGCCTAACACTGAGCCGCCCTTACAAATACATTTACTCAATCGTGTTAGAGCAAAGTGTGATTAGGATTATGTAGCATATTTATGGTGATTTTTACTGTCTGCTTCTTTCATTAAAAGTGTATTATTTTAGCCTAATCTTTCATTAAAATACAGTGTGTCTGTAACCAGATTTCCTTTGCTTGTGGTATTTTATTGTGTGTGTGTGTGTGTGTGTATGTGTATACATACATATATTTTCTCTGATTTTCACAACTTTTCTTGAATTATTAAAACAACTTCAAAGATGTATAGATGCTCGAGAAAAGTAATTTCTATTCTATTTCTGATCTTCACCACTTGAGAACTGATTGTCCTCTGCTTCACTTTCAGACTTTATGCAGCATTTAAACTTCCTTTTTAGTGGGCATTTGCTAATGCATGTGGTGCAATGATGTCGTAATGAACAGTTTCAAACCATAGCTATACTTGTAGTTGCCAATTCATTATGTTGGTATCTGGTGGGGGAAAAAATGCTTTCATTTGGTGGAAATTTCACCATTCTTTTGTCTTTAAAGCAGAAAGAAGAACAATATCACAGTGCAAGTTCTGACATCCGGCTGTGGAAATGGTCTTTAGACTACTGCCTGCGTAGCCTCAAGACAAAACCAAGTTTTTCTTTAAAAAATTAGCAAAGATCTTGGTTTCCATTTTTTTTTCTAACGTTACATTGTTCTGTTGTCTTATAGAATATATAAAGTCATCATATTGATATTGCTTTTCTCTTGTCTTTGTCTGCATATATGGGGTTGAGATAATGCAAAAGTAACTTAACTAGTAACTTTAACTTAGTTACTTTAATATGGTGATACTGCGATTAGGTTACAGACTACAGTTGTGTAAATGGTAATTGTTTCTGATTACATTTTGAAAGTATTCTAACAACCCAGTCAGTAGATCTGCCAGCAGATGGTGATACTGGTGGTGGTATATTGGGCGTTAATAAAGGTTTATCTCATCTCATATATACATTTAAAACTGTGTCTTCCCCCAATTTATATTACAATTACTGCCTAGGTATATACTGTATATCAACATGCTAGAAATTAGGCCACTCCAAACAAATGAAAATGGAATATATATACAGTCATAGAAGACATAATGAGTGAGTGAAAGAAAGTTAAAAACCTCAAGCATGGACTTTTTAAGGTTTATTCGGTAGCAGCAGGAATTATGTCTATGTGTATCTTATGGGTTTGATTGATTTATAGTTTATAGGATTTTAATATTTCTCTATTATTTAATTCTGACCAACTAGCCACTTAGCTGTGGCTACTTTTGGTTAATATGTTAATGTTTTCTCAAACCCAGTCAGCCTGATAAGAAATCCACTATACTGTACACTAATAATGTAGTTTTATAATAAAATAGTAAATTTCATTCTTTGGACAAACAAAAATAGACAAAAACAACACACATTATACAGTTTGCTGCAATATTAAAATTATTTTTATATATTATTGTGAAAACACAGACAGCAAAGCAAAATAAAGTGAATACATATTGTCCTCTTACTGTAAAGAAGTGATTATTATACTTAATAGGAGTAGGAAGAGGTCACATGAATGAGCTCTGACCAGAACTTGTGGAGAGGCTGCTGAGAGTCATGTGTGTGCAGTATTTGGTCTGCTTTCACTTTCACAAAATCTGTATTGTAAAAGGTTTTACTGCAAGTACATTCTCATGACATGAACAAGTTAAAGGCATTACTGAATGATAAGCAGTGAGAAACTTTTACAAGTAGCGCAGAGGGTTATATGCACTGCATGGTATATCCCACCACGTAGTTTAGGAATCTTTCCTAAGCTGGAAATGAGAGTGCTCGTTTGGGGTTTATGGTCCAGAACATCAACTGGTAATGATATAAGAAATGAAATGAAGGAGTTAAGACCTCATCAGAATTCATAAAGTCCCTCATAGCTCATAGAGTCGGGAGTGACATTGAAACTTTTCCCTGTAAAGCAAATGTACTCTTATTTAAACTGATGCGTGTAATTAGTATTGTGGTCAATACTATCAGAGTCAGCGAATACATCTGCTGTAGCTGAGAACTAATTCAAAATCAACATTGTGAAATCCAGACTGCAGAGAACTCAAACCTACAAAACAAATTAATGTAAATAAAGCTTCTAAAGTTTGCAGAGTATTTACAGTGCCTTGCGAAAGTATTCA